CCCAGAATTCCCCAGCCAGCGTTCGCTGGCTGGGGAATTCTGGGAGTTGAAGTCCAGACATCTTCAAGTTGCCAAGGTTGAGAAACACTGATCTAGTCCAATCCCCCAACCCCTCCCCACAAGCTATTTCACTGGAAAGGCGCAGGGGACAGAGAACAGGATACCTGTTATTTCTGATGTGAATGACTGATATGAATGAAAAAGATAAAACGAATGAAACTCAAGCGCCTTTCTTACTTCATCCATTCCGCCGGCTGCTTAACAAGAGACCAGAAACCGAAGGCACTCGCACCGATGTACCGAAACCTTACCTTCGAATCTACCCGCCTAAGGTGCACATGCGCACAAGCGCTTCATTCATTTGCCCTTGTTTACGCTTCGAACCTGACGCTTCGGGCACGAAAGCGCTCAGAAATGCCCGTTTCCTTCTGCGGAAGTGACGTAAGTCCGTCAAGGGACGGGAAGAAGCCGAGAGGAGGCGGCAGCGGGTGAGGCGGAGGGGAGGCCGGAGAGGGAAGTCTGTCCCTCGGCTGGGTTTGGTCCAGGAAGCAAAGCGGCGGAGGAGAGGTGAGGATGGACGGGGTTTGGGGAGCGAAAGAGGCCGCACCTCCGTCCCCTCCCGAAATTGGTAGCTAATAAATTATTATAAACATTAATTGAAGCATATTATTAGGTTTAGTATTTTGGTAATAATATTGCTATTGACATCCACGTTAATATTCAGGGAGCCTTGCGGGACTGTTGAGGAAAGAGAAACGGGAGGGCGAAATATGAGCAAACTTACGTCACCTGGAGATGGAAGGACAAGGAAAGAAACGCCAGAAATTATTCTTGGCAACATTAGTGTTTATAGTTTGCAGGGGAAGAACTCCTTCCTTAGAGAAACTTGCAATCCAAGTGCAGTTTAAACAGAAGAAGGGGAGGCAGAAAAATGTAATTTCTTTTCGTGCCTACCACTATTTTAAATTCTACCTTTCCTTCTCCAGGATATCTCGGAATACAGTAACTGTTGTTTCTTGTTTTCTTTCCACTTATGGTGGTTTTGTTTGTTACAGTTGTCCCCAAACTTATCCTTCTCAAATGTTTTGGCTTAGAGAAATCTGATTTTCCTCTCCTTAACTGGATTATTAAAAATGGCTAATGTTAATTAAAATAATTCCTGTGTTAGTTCCTTTTTTTTTTTACAGTAAAAAAATAGCAAAGAGCCATGTGGGACCTTTTAACACTAGCAAGTTAAGTATGTATATATGATCTGTAATATAGGAAAACTTAATTTTTTGGTCTTTAAGATACCACCGGACTCCTTGTTATTAATTACTTAAATTAACATAAAATGTTATTTTAATAAAATCAGGGGTGCTCTGTGGAAGTATAATAATTTAATGTTTAATTTAATATTATGGCTTCATAACTAATATAAAACCACTTTATATTGTAATTCATAAAATTCAGAGAGATGGGAAAATGTTTGCTGAAGCCATGATAGAACATCGCAGAAGTAAAAAAAAAAGTTTTACTTCTGTGATAAGTTCTGAATTTTGGATGGTGCTATTGAAAAAATCCACTAGAATGGTGCCAACTTCTCACCTATAAGACAGTGCATACATCATACTGTCATTAGATGACGCCTAGAATCTTTCAGGTGTGTGGGAAGGAAAACTGGTATATTTATAGTTTCACAACTGCTGTATCAGGTAGACACATTATAATGAATTATTTTATAAATTGCCTTTAAAACTGAGCAGCAATCTGATTGTCAGGTTCCAAAATTGGATTATTTGATTTCCAAGATTAGGTAAGGGAGGTGATGTGAGTCTAGGAAAGTTTTCTAGGATTTGCATGGGATGTCTTTTTAAAACAGAATAGCAGTTAAAGTGGTAAACTTTGATCACATACTATATGCTAATGTAAAAATTTGTGCATATGTATGAAACCACTGGAAACAGCCTCTGGATAGAAAAGTGGAATGCAAATTGAACAAATAATTATAATATTAACACTCAAACCTGGCATAGATTTTTGTACTCCAGTGCTTAATTTGTAGCATGTTTGATTCAGAAAGAATTCTCTGAGCCCTTCAGAGAAAGAGCTATAGCTGTTTGGGAGAACGCATCCTGTGTATAAACCTTGAAAACTGCCACCATTCTGTTTGGATGCTACAGAAATATTTCATCTCATTGCCTGGAATTGTTGTAATATTGTACTTGGGATAGATACCATTCTGGAAAGTTTCTGTAATGACTTCTATACTAAGTCAGCATTAGTTGCAGCACTTAACAGTTCTAAACATTAACCAGTTTACCTGATAAATCTCATATCGGCAGTGAACACTGTTTGTTTCGGATTTTATCCTCGGAGTAGCCTATAAGCTAAACGAAGCTAGAGCTTTCTTCAAAAGTCACACAAAGCCATGTGAAATTGGGCAAAATATAATTAAAATTAGTTGTTGAACTTTTTCTATAATAGTATACTGAGTTTCTTGAAGCCAGTCATTCAGGTGGAAGCAGAAATAGTGCAGAATTTAAGGACAAAATAAATTGCAGTTCATCTTAGACTCAATAGTTCAGTGAGGGGTCCTTTGGGCTCTCTGAGCTTGCTTGTTGTCTTGCAGATGTTTCATTACCCAAATTAGGTAACATCATCAGTACTACCAGTAAGTTTGCTGTCAGTTTATATTCTAATGACTTGCCCTATCAGAGTTGGTGGGAGTGGTCTTAGAGATTCTTTGGTTGAGCTGTTTGCTGTTGGCTTCTCAGGCAGTTTCTTGATTGTGGGTTTACTCAATTGTTGATCTGATGTTAATCCTGGAGTTAATCTATGATGATGGGGTGCTGATTGCTGGGGGAGAGATGCTTGGGTTTTTTGTTCCCCCTTTGGCTGGTTGATTGTTTCTTTTGCATAATCTATAGATATTGTTAATGTCTATGTGTCTATTGATGGCTAATTTGTCAGTGTCAGGTTTCTAGGAATTCCCTGGTGTTTTGGGACATGTCTTAGTCTAGAATGGTCACATTTCCCAATTGAAACTATGGTTAAATCTGTCTATGTTGTGAAGAGTTTTCATCATGTCTTCTGACTGTTAGTTGGTGTTCATGGATATGATCTGCCTGTCTTCTGCCTGTTTGTTCTACATAGTGCTTGAGGCAGTCATTACAGTGTATGTTATAGATGACTCCTGTTTTTTCTTCTTCTGGGGTTGCTGGATCTTGGTTTGCCTAGGCCCCGGGATATTTTGAAGGGCTTTGGTTGTCTTGTGTGCTACGCTGATTCCATCTGATTGTAGTAGTCCGTTGAGAGTTTTTGAGATTTCTTGATGTATGGCAGCAACACAAATGCTTTTTAGCATTTGTGTTGGTTGTGCTGAATTGGGTTGAGTGGTTTAGTATTTCAGTATGTAAAGCAGAGGCTGAATTTATTTCCATAAGATTAATGACAACTCTGCTGAAATGTCAATATCCTATTCTATGAAGCTAACCTGGTCTTTTTCATTTATGATTGCTGTTTCTTGGGAACAGACGACTATAAGATCAAATTCAATGTTTTGCACATTATGCTTTCTCCCTCCCCCTCCCCACCTTTTGAATTAAAGATGAGGGAATTTGTTTTATGTTTTTGGCAATACGAATATAGACAGGTGTATACTTTACTGCTGGTTCCTGTTTTTCTTTAATTTCTCTCTTTCTTTCCCCTTACCCTTCAGATAGCCTATAAAACATGATATATTTGTGAGTTGATGTCATAAAGGTTTACAGTACATGGTCTGTACATAGAGGTTTTTATGTTATACTCAGTATTTATATCAGTAAAACACTGAAGGACTCTTGTAATTTTTCACTGTGAGTCAGGAACATAAGCTGTTCCTCAGCATTTCGTTAGAGGATTTCCTGATTAACCTTTGAGCACCCCATAAACTTTGGGTACTGTCTACAAAAATTAAATCACTCAGGTAAAATCATCTTGGTTCTCCCAACCTATTAGCTTTATCAGCCATCAAGTCATATTCCTACCTTGGTCTTTTAGGGCTTCTAATGTTGCAGTCATTGGTTTGTAGGGACTGTAACTGAACCCATCTACGTTATTGCTGGTCATCCTCTTCTCTTCTTCCATCTTTCCTAGCATTAGAAATTCTTCCAGAGCGCTAGTTCTTTGTACAAAATGCCTGAAGTAAGTCTTCTAAAACTCTCCAACTTCAATTTTTCCTCCCTCAATAGTTTCTGGTGTTGGGTCAGATTGCTGAGCAGCAGTCTACCTGACTGTATTTTTTTTTTTTTAAGATAAAGGAGCAAATTTGGTTCTGGATGGAAACATATATCTGGTTCCTTTTTTTAAAGGATTTGTAGGAAATGTCATGGATAGAGTTATTCTAGTTGCCCTCCTTTAAAGGGAACAAGTACTTTTTACATACCAGAGACATTATTACATTACTCTGTTTAAGGAAATGCATGACTCAAGATGAGCAAACATTCCCACAGTTCTGGGAGACTCCCTTGCTACAAAGGGATTTTTATTTTTCAAATATTAAGTAGTTTCAGATTTAAGTAGCATAAGGAATTTTTCTCCAGCTTTGCTAATATAAGGATCAGTGAGCTTGTCTTTCTGCTTTTGTTCTGACTTATACTGAGAGAGATATGACACACATTCATTGTTTTTACTTCTGCATGCCAGGCCTGTATGTATAGCTGAAATGTATCTGGACAAAAAGGCCACTGTCACTGTGTTTGGGAAGAATCTCTGAAGCTGTCATAACTCAGTGGGTACCTAAAGCACAGGACCTCCTCCTTGCTGCCTTGTTTAACTTGATAATGTGTACAAATAACAACCTTTGCAGTCATTGTACCACTGTGATTTGGTTATGCAGCCTCTTGCCTAATCTCTTTACAATGTGTATTTATGTGTATTTGTATTTGTATCTAGCATGAGTTGCATACAAGGTCCTACATTGTATTTTGAATCTTAACAGCATCATTTTTTTCTCTTTGATTCTGGGGATTAAATCACTGTCATATTATTGCATGTGGTTTTTTTTTATCCTTATACTGCTTGGAGCATGTGTCACAGAGGTACACTAGTCAGTCTAAGAGTCTTGATTATTTGGAAGTTGAATTGGTGCGAAGTCACTTTGTCCTATGTGATAATGATACCCTAGCTGTGGAATGTTGGGAGTTGAAATCCATAAATATTAGAAGTTGTTGAGGTTGAGAAACACTGGGCTAAAATCATATGGTTTTGAGTGTCTTCTGCTGAATTGGCACATTTGATTGTTTATGACACTGTGTGGACACTGATAGCTTTGATATTCTATAGTTGCACCTTTTCTATGGCAAAATTTTGACTGCTAACAGTGCTGCATGGTCACTTTTTTTAGTTTTTCAGGGGAAGTTCGATTTGGATTCCTTAGCATTGCCCTTGATACTATCTATAATGAAAGGCATGTTGGAAATACCAGAGGAGACTTACCCTGTGGCAAAGAACTGACCGCATGACTTAAATGTTTCTCAGTTTTAGTTTCTGGACTGTCTCATGGCGGTAATGGGGTATGCCTAAGGACAATTTCCTATGTGTCACAGAACTGAGAGGTTTATTTAATTGATTAGGAAATGATGGGTGAGAGAGTTATATGGTGATGGAAAAAAATTTACCCAATGGGAAAAATATAACTGCTGATGAAGGCAAAACTGTGTGTTAGTGGTGAGAATCTATTTTATGAATTAATCAGTAATAATGAAAATATGCCAGTTGAAGCCAAAGAGTAGGCAATCTTGTTTTTGAGTTCATATGCCAGTTGCGACCCTACCTGAATCGGGAGGCTCTCACAACAGTCACCCGGGCCCTTGTGACCTCTAGGCTGGAATACTGCAACGCTATC